TAACCATTAAATACATAAAAAATGATATGTATTTATATATATATTTTTGTATTTTTTGTATTATGTACCAACTTAAGGATTGTTAATTCTTTCATTTATAAAATTTAACTAATTTATAAATTTTAACAAAATTGTAAGCAATGCATCTATATGCTCCACTAGCTGGCACACAGTTGTGCCGAGGACCAATCTACTTCCGTAATATATCGCCTTGGGTCGTGACACTTGCTCAGCTCTAGCCCCATTGCTAGCAGGAGCAGCTGCTGACTGGCTCCATTTCCATTTGAATTAGCATAAAACGACGGCGGCTTACGTCTGTCTATTGTAAGTGAGAGAGTTGGGGGTCTGTGCGTTTGTGTGTGTGCCTGTGGGAGGGCGGGGGCAATTGGAGGGTAGAGGATGTGGCACATTGGCGCATTGCTGGAGCAGATATCATCTGTTGCTGCTGCTGCGGCTGCTGCTGCTGCTGCGGCTGCTGCTGCTGCTGCGGCTGCTGGCGCTGCTTATGTTGGTGTCGCCACACGGCAGCAACAGCAACGACTTCGTTATCTTTTTAACTTGGCGCTGTCGTTTATTTAACTGATAATGATTTGATGGCAGCTGGCTAAGCTTTCGACAAAGCCACGCCCCCCACCCACACCCACGGCCGCCTTCGTGCCATTTGCTGAGGTCAATTACACGCTTTCGATTAAATTTGCCATGGCTCTTTGTTGTTGCTGTTGTTGTTTGGGTGTTGACAAGGAACAGCTGCCCGAGCTGCYAGCTACAACTATGTGGGAAGTTACAGAAAGTGAGAGAGGGAAGGAGGGAAGGAGGGAGAGACGGAGAGTGAGAGTGGGGATGTGCAGAGGGAAGGCTCCTTCGGCTTCGCCTTCGCCTTCCTTTTCGCCTGTCCCCCCACCCTCCCACACATGCCTAGGTATGTGGCACAAATAAAGTTGAATTATTATTTTTCTTTATGCCTGGGCTGGGGGCGTGGCACGTGCTCGGCATGCTCAAGTGTTGCCATTGCCATTGCATATCCGCATCGTTAGCCCAATGGAAGCAGAGCCGCGCTCAGCCTCTGGAACCGCCACTGGAATGACACGCAAAGCTCTTTAGGAATCTGGGTTTTAGATTAAACGGACCTTTTACCAAATGCCAATACAATTCGGTTAAAAAACAAGAACGGAATGAAAAGGTGCTCAAATATATTTTTTATCTCAAATTCCTAAATGTTTACAGAAAAAAACAAAAAAAAAATAAATTGATGACTTTGCTCTTTTGGGTTTGGCGTTGAAAGTATTTGCGTTCGCTTAAAGTCAAATATTGATTTAAGATATAGGTATTATAGGTATTATTTAAATTGATAGTATAAAATTGTGCAATTCGGTAAGGAAATGATTCGATTTATGCAATCACTCAATCAAATATTCAGTCGATAGCTCAATCAGTCAGTCAGTTTGATATTCAGTCCTAGTTCAATACCTACATATTTGGTCAGTCAATGTATCGCTTGGATTGAGACAGTCAATTATTTAGGTTTTCAGTTATTCAACCATATTCAGTTTAACCGCTAAGCTATTCAAATGGTCAAATATTTCTGTAAGATACTTTCTTATCAGTCAGTCAATACGATAGATTCTTCCTATATAAGAGATTTAACTTCTGTGTCAGTCTGTAATCAATCAATCACAGCCAGTCAGTCGATGTGTTAGTAGTATGCTCAGCTGGGTATATTTGTCTAAAATCTTGTCATAATAAGATTTATCATTACATAAGTAAAAGTTAGTTTATCAATCGGTTAGTCATGAAGTAAGCCAATCAATCAAACAACGCTGATTGAAAGATTAATCTTTTATGGTATTTACTATGTATTTTATGAAAATGAATATTTTGTTTTATTTTCTGACAGCCTCATACTCTCACAGTTCAGCCTTCAATTACGACTTCAATACTTCAGTTCCACTTCCAGCACATTTTCAGTCAATCAATCATTCAGTCATTCGCATCGAAACTCATAGGGGTATATCGAATTCATATGACACACCAGTGAAGCCCTACAAGTGGGCTTAGGAGCTGGCTTGAGGGTCATTTTTAAAGCGTGTTTGGCAATTAGAAAAACATGACCAACAATTGAAGAGGTGATTTCAATGTAACTCAATACAAGTCAAGCTAATTCTGGTGAACTCGAAATCGAATCGAAGCCTTAGAGTGCAGGCGACAGTCGATGGGGGATTGATGATGATTGAGTGTTGATTATTAAAGTTAAATGGAAAGCAAAGGAATAGACAGGCAAAAATCTACAACGATTGATAATGATTGAACACACATTTATTTTGTTGGCTATTGTAAAGTCACCATGTCCAAGATAAAAGATAGTGTAAAGATTGATAGAGTAATAGATTGATCGGTATGGAATGTAAATTAGATAAAGATGGTCACAGACTGATGTTGGTTGATTGAAGATTGACAAGTTGTTTTCACTCACCAGGAGTTGAGCCACATTGCCATATATCCTGAGAATAAACTTTAGGAATATCTCAATTCAGGCACACTTTGGGAATTGATGATGATTGAATGTCAACTTTATGCTTCCGTCCATTGTTGAGCCACCTTGCCGAGCATATGGAAGAACAGCGCGGTGCCACAGACGACCAAGTCTTCACCCGCTTCCTCATGGGCTGTGTCCATTATCACCGGATAGAATCTGATCACCAGCATGGTTAGGGTCATGCGCATATAAATGAAGTTTGACTCCTTCACGGACAGAAAGCCGATGGATATGATATTGCCCAACATGGAGAGATCGCGCAGCGATTCAGACAAGTCACAGTCCTTGCGCTGCTTCACCATCGAACAGTACAAATCGAGCAGCAGCGGCACCACGAAAATGCCATGGGCCAGGGCCAGGGGACCCAGGCCGAGCGAGTGCGCGTACAGCTCCATGTTCACCAAAGGCAGGGGTATCAGCTCCAAAACGCCCTGGCTGACATTGCGCAGCATGCGGAATTCCCGCTCGTTTCCCCGATACCTCCGGTATGGCCCCTCGCCCGCACTGCCAAATGCGACGCGCAGCAGACCCAGGGCAGCAGCGACCCCGCCAATCACACAGGCGACCATCGCGAAGGGCTGCTGCTCCGGACTCAGCTTGCGGGCCGCCAGACCGGATGTGGTCAATAGGACGGCATTGAAGATGAACCGACGCCCACGGCTCGAGACGGGTTCGCTCATAGCGAGCGAGCTACATAAATAATTTTGTTTAACTGAATTTCAGTCTGATCAATGGCTGAAAGGTAATTAGATTAAAAATAACAAAAAAAAAAAACACATAGGTAATGCTAGAGTATCGTTAAAAGATATCTTAAAGAAAAATGAATTCTCTTCTCTCTTCTTAGCAGGAGTTATTAGGAGGTATTTGTAGAGTAGCAGCGGATTACATCTTAAGGCAGAAGAAGAGGAAAAAGGAGCAGATGAATCAAATCAGTTTTTTCTTTAGCTTTCTTTGCCTCTCTTTTGCTGTCCTTCATTTATTCTATTTTTTTTCTTTCTTTCTTCTCATCTTCTGTTTTCTTTTCCTTACTCCTCGCTTTACTACTATATCCTACATCTGACAATTTATATATGGTAGGGATATAGGTAATACTAGATTATCATCGCATCAAGATGAATCACTATTTTCTCATCGTTTCTTCTCTTTTCTTGCATATCTTCTCTCTTCTCCACGATCTTCTCTACTCTCATTTTATCTTCAAGTCTACCCTCTTCTATTTCCTCTTTTCCTATCTTCTCTAGTCTGCTCTTCTCTCCTCTTCTCTTCTACTCGTTATTACACTTAGATTTTCTACCTATTCATAGCTAAATCTCTGTTTGTATTAAGTTTATGAAAATCTAATTGGAAAATTTCTAATATGCAAAGAGCTAATGGGGCAGACACAGTGAGACTCGAAAAAACTCTATACATATGTATGTTCATATATGAATATATATATATGTAACTGTATGACATCTGTGTTACATTCTGGATGCGGGCTTGTTAACAATATCCGAATGTCTGGATTAACTCGCACGCTGCCAAATGACAAACTCTAATTGCAAGTGGAACATATATTTTAATGAGTATATACAGAAATACATACGTACATAATATGTATGTGTATAGTATATATGCATATTTGAATCCTCCTTCTCTCTCTCTCTCCAGGCGAAATCCCGCCCGCGTCGCTTTATTCAACTTGACGATGTGAAGTGAGTGTGAATATAATTTTTTTAGGTCACGTCAAAGCAACGTCCAACAGCTAAATACATACACACATACATTTATATATATATATACAAATACACATAAATATGGGAAAACAGGTAAAAAGGGGAAAAATATGGTTCGAATCCTTTTGGCATCCTGTTTGAAGGGAAATTGCAGTCAACATTTATTTCCGCAGCCTGATGAAAAATTCGAAAATAATTTGCGAGCCATAATTAAAAGGCGACAGGTCCAGTAGTGGTTGTTGTTGTTGTTGCAAAAGAAAGTCCTGCCAAAGGACCTGCCACTTGCCACGCCCCCGCCCCGGCATCCCTGGACTCGTGCTGCCTCTAGGGTCATAAACAATCCAGCATAGACGCGTTTTTCGATTTTCGCCTCAATTGGCAACATATGGCGAGCAGACTTCGAAGGGGGGCGCGGTCGGGGCGGGCAGCCTCTTGCTTCTGCTCCTGCCCACACACACTCACACACACTCTCTCGCTCTGTTGATGTGTGGGTGTGGGCGTGGCAGCATTTGCATTTGTGACTGCGAATTGCGAATAAATTTTTTTCTTCTTTCGTTTTTAAAGTTTTGCCGTGATAAGAGGGTTGTACAAAAGAAATTGCGACGTTTGCCTGCGCGACACGAAAAAGGCGGCAGACAAAAGGCGAAGTCGAAGAAAAATCGCTGCGGGGTGCAAGTCAAGGGAGTTGGCTGGGGGTAGCGGGTTGACAGCGTGCATGGGTGTGTGTGTGTGTGTGTGTGTGTGTGTGTGTGTGTGAAGTGGAAGCTCTACTTAGTGTAGTCGCATTGTTGCGTGGCATTTGCCAGAAGGTGCCAACACAATTTTATTGCGCCAAATACTCTAACCAGCGAAATGGCTTGGAAAACTATGTGAAGCGTTTGGGCTGTGGAAAATTCTAATATATATATTAAGTATTTCAGTTTCAATCAAGAATCCACAATGCAGTTCAATGTTCATATCTGGAGACATTTAGAGCAGTAAAGAGCAATTTGGCGAAGATTAAATAGATCGCATATATCTTATTTAAACTAGAGACAACTTAACTCAATGCTTAAATATATTATATAAATCATTTTAGCGCTTCGTTTAATAAATGTGAAAATAATAAAGATATCTATGGATACTTACTTTAAAAGGAACCCGTATCAAACCATTTCGTACCCTTTTATCGATAATAATAATATGTTGAGGTCGAATAGTAGCGCTCATATGAGCTGGGCACAATATCTAAAAAAATAATAATCCTGTAATCGACTATAAACGATATTAGTCATATGTAT